AATCAGCAGCAGAAACTCTGCAGTGAAAAGACAGAAAATGTGTTTTGAAAGTGTTTCCGTGACGCCTGAGCTGGACTCCTGTCTGCCTGTGATATTCCTGGTTCTGCTCGGCGTCATCGGTTCACAGAGTCACGCTGCGATGCAACATGTTACCCGTCAGCAGGCCTCCTGGCCCGGGTCTGGGCCGGGCCTGGGCCAGGCCCGGGCCGGGCCGCGGGCCACGCTGCGGCACCATGTGGGTCAGACAGGAGCTGAAGTCACATCTTATCGAATGGAGCTTCAGTTTGTGTCCAGCTGAAACGTTTCTCCTGCTTCAGTTCCTGCAGCCTGAATCACCAGCTGCTCCACTGAGCCGAGGCTGCAGGAGAAACCGGCAGAGCAGCTGGCAACACGAGGATCCATGAAAAGACACCAAGATTATCAGCCATTTGGATTATTTAGCCTGTTATGAGAGAAAAATGAAAGAAAAAAGTCTAATTTATTCATTCGTAAATGTTACAGTTTCAAACATGGCTGAAAATGGTGGATTTCATAAATATTTAAATATTAAGCATAATACCTAAATATTTGGTTTACAAACTAAATATTTAGTTTTCAATCGGTTTGTGTTATCACTCAGTTCTTCCTGCTAGAGGAAAACAGATTATTTTTGTGTACTGACTGCAGCTTTTCATGAATGTGAGACGCTGCTGTTCTGCCTGGCAGCCACCAGGGGGCGGCAGTAATAAGACTTCACTTGATGCAAAGTTTTTATCATCTATATTTAGTCTGCAATGTTTTTATTCTAGGCAATCACATGTTTATGTAAAGACATTGATTTGTTCCTTTATCAGCTCGGTTTCCTGCTGAATATGTTGGAACGGGTTAGTTAGTCACTAACCAGTTTTACTGTAAATCATTTTTCTGCTGACTAAACAGAAAGAGCCTGGAACAGAAACCCGGAAAAGCTGGAAAGATTTTCTCCACTTTTCCCCACAGAAGGTCGTTTCCACATTTTCTCTTCTATTTTAAATTTGTTCTTTCTTTTTACCAAACGTCTTTTAACAGTTTCCGCTCCAGACCTTCTGCTCCACATGCAGGCCCGTTTCCTGCGTTTGGGTTGGTACCGGGCTCATGGTACCATTTCAACTACTCCTGCACCAACTTCCACAGGAATTAGACATGCATCCAATTCCCAGCATTTTTAAACTCTGAAGATGTGAATCAGTAGGAGGAATAAAACTTTTACGTTCCACAGAATCTTTCAAAACGAATCACAGATCAATACGTCCAAATACTTCATCAAAAGCAATGAAATGTAGATGTTTTTTAAACAGCGTTCATCAAATGAAAGGGAAACTGCGTCATGTTCTGCTGCCAGAACAACGAAAAGCTTTTTTAAATTCCCCCAAAAACATGTTGTCATGATTTAAAATGCCTGTTTTCCTCGTTTCATTCAACAGGATTTGAGTTGAACAACAGAGTCCGTTAAATGTTCTGAACTTTTATTTCAGACCGAACTGCAGGTTAAAGAAAGACGATAAACAGAGCAAAACGTTTTTCTGCTTACAGAGCAGAATATGCTCTGATCTCTCTGCTGAACATCCAATGTTTCTAATCTGAGAAAAGTTTGAATCACAATGAAAAATAAATATTGAACATCTTAAACTGATGCTATCGCTTTATAAACAATGTAGAAGATATAATCGTCATAAAACACAATCTATTAACTCACTGCAAAACCTTTGTTTTGAAAAGTTTAACAAAGTTTTCTTTTGAAAGACCAAAATCACTTTATATCCTCCTGGTTCAGATCCATCTATTTCTGATGCTCTTATTTTGAAGTCTGTTCTACAGTAGATCTATTTCCTTTCCTCTTATTCTATTTTTCCTTCAGTAACTTTATTTAAGACAAAATACACAATATTTAGTAGCTACATCATGATAGAAAATGTTTATTATAATGTCAGAATTAAATTGATGCTCAAATATTAAAGTCTTTTGATCTTACAGATTTGTTTCTTCCTTTCATCCACATAAAATCTTGCTGTTAAAGTTAGCTTAGCATTAGCTTCCGCTAAAGAATACATTTCTATAGCATGTTAGCATTAGCAGAACTAATGTTTATGATTAGCATAGCTAACTTTTTACTTAGCGCTGGTATAGAAAGTTCCACCAGCTCAAAACTAACAGTCAAAAGTCAAACAGTCAAAGGTCAAACAGTAAAAAAGGTCAAAAGTCAAACAGTCTGACTTTTGACTGTTTGTCAGTTTTTGACTGTTTGTCACTTTTTCTCAGGTTCTTCATTGTGGCTTTCAGCAGAAGTTGCTCATAACTTTCTGGAGCCTCGTTGGACAGAATGAGCAGCAGGAGATTTTCTAACCCTCCTGTAGGACGCTGAGTTCTTCCAGAGGAAGCAACAGAAAGTGTTTCAGACGTTGGTCTCGGTCGGAGCCGCTCCTCTCAGTAACCAAAGGTTTGTTTGATGGCCTGCAGGTAGAAGCGCCTCCAGCCCTCCCTGGTGGTTTCCTCCTCTGCAGCAGGAACTCCTCGGCCCTCCAGCTGCAGCTCCGTCTCGTCTCCTCTGTCTGCCAGCTGCAGCCTGATGGTGGCGTAGTGCTCTGATGGAGCGAGCAGACGGCTCAGGCCTTCTGCATGCAGCAACACGCCATCAAACATACAGACTCACCGCTGGCCAAGTCCTGAAGCGCCACCTCATCTCAATCCTCCGGTCTGGAACCTTCAGACAGACAGAACCCGCCGGGTTACGTCGACATGAACAGTTTGTCCGAGTTGGACTGAGGTCTCACCAGCTCTGTGAACTCTCCACTGACGCTGCCACCAAGAAGAAGGAACTTTCCTCCTCGCCGCGCGTCGACAGCGGCTGCTGAGCGCGTGAACACCTGGACAAACTGGACAGAGCGCAGAAGAACCGCTTCAGATGGAGCTTGTCGGGTCAGAACCCGGTTCTGCAATTTGGTGTCATTCTGAGGTCATTTGGAGGAGAGACATGCAGGCTGTCAGCCAGCAGAGGCGCTCTTCTGCTGTTTTAAAGCGCTTTGGAGTTTTGGCTGAAACATCTGGTGATCTCAGAACCTCGTTATTGATCTCAGAACCTCGTTATTGATCTCAGAACCTCGTTATTGATCTCAGAACCTCGTTGTTGATCTCAGAACCTCGTTATTGATGATGTAGCACTTTAGCATTAGCTTTCGCTAAGTGGCTCGTTGGTAGCCGTCAGAGGTGGTCCAAGGACGTCTGGTGTCCTGGGCAAACAACCCACTGGCACTGGGTTAGCATCGGCCACCGCTGTCTACCAGTATGAGCTAACGCATGCTGGTTCTGTAGCTGGTTCTGTAGCTGGTTCTGTAGCTGGTTCTGTAGCCGGGTCCGGGCTGCTCGGTACCTCCTGGTTGGTGAAGCTCCTGTAGAGTTTCCGCAGAGGTCTGGAACGTTTCCCTCAGGCTGAAGCTGCAGGTCTGGATGTGAACACCTGTGGGACAGGTAGCCGCGCTGGGTGAGTGCCGAGCGTCTGCGCTAACCTGAGGACGACAGAGACGACGTTCAGGTCCAGCAGAACCACCTGGCAGGACAACAGGTGGACTGTACCTGAGTTTTACCGGCTTCGACCCGGTTCTTCTTGCTCACTACAGGTGTGGATGGTTTCTGCCCGTCAGCAGTGGGAAGAATCATCCCCTGACTGAAATCTGAGAGGTTAAAGGTCACCTTTGCTGTGATGTTCATCATCCCCGCCTAAACACCTGATGCTGGTTGTCAGACCTGATTTAAGGTCATGGACGTACTGGCCCAGGACCCTGCGGACCTCCGTGCCACCAGAGCTCTTCATCAGGCCCAGCAGGGGGTGCTGGGCTGGTCCCGACACAGAGACACCGAGATCTGGACCAAACGGAGCAACTCAACGTCAACAAGGCAGCTGGACGAGGGCTCGGCTGAAGGTCAACCGACTCACATCAAGGTCGTCTTCATCGTTCTCATCGGACAGGTTGGGGACGTCGATGGTCCCGCGGTACTTCAGTCCACTGCAGGACGTCCCTGGAATGGATGACAGCATCAGAGTCGCCCTATCAGGAGCCTCGGTGGTGTTGCATCATCAGTGACATCACAGACCTAACCAGTTGGCCCTCAGTTGGAACTCATAGAAGAAGAAGAGTTTTCCTTTGCGGTTGATGGACGCCTCTCCGTCCAGCCTGCTGACCTCTGTGACCTCGCAGACGCCCTCTGACCCCTCCACCCGGACGCCCAGCAGCAGCTGACGGAGGCGGTCTGAGGACCAGGCCGTGACGTCCCGCTCCGTCCTGACAGGGAAGACGGGAACAGAGTGAGCAAACTGGCTCCGCCCACCTCTGACATCACAGCGTTTAAAAATATCTGTACATGTGCCGAGCTGCTGGGTCTCATAACCCTGCCAGCCTAAAATAACCCTCCGGATTTACCCCTGGGGCATTCTGGAGGGTTCTGCTCCTGCCTTCAGGATTTATCTTCATATTAGCATTTAGAAACTTTAATACAACTTTTAAAGGTGAAACATTTCGACTCTTTAAAGCTAGAATTTCAAAATAAAAGCCTGAGTGTTCAATGCTTCACTGACCAGTGCCAGTTGTTGACGTTGGTAGCATCAGCTCTTTCCTCAACGATCCACCGAGGGTCCCCTTCCCCCCACTTGGCCATCGATGACCGGAGCGGATCGATCGCAGGACCAGAACCGGACTGGGACCTCAGTCTGAGCTTTGACCCCCCGGGACTCTGACTGCAGCGGAAACCGGAGCTGCTGCTCTCCATGCAGACTTTCAAAATAAAACCACATTCAGGTCGACAAAACAAAAGCAGCTTCGATGCTTCACACAGCAGCAGAAAGATAAAAAGTATCTTAATGGATCTGGACGCCACAGATTCACAGAACGAGTTTCTAAAGCTTTGACTGCCTGGGTTAGGGTCAAAGGTCATGATTCAGCACCAAGCGAGAAGGAGATGAGAGAAGAGGAGGAATCATCAAGAGAAGATTTGTTTCTGGCGGCATTTATTCACTACAAATCCCATCAGCCCCTGCGCACCCGGAAACTGTGACGTCAAAATCCGGGCGGTTGAGGAGCAACATCAGCTGAACAAGGTAATAACAGCTGATCGATAATCGTTTCATATCCAGCGGGTTTTTATGAAGCCTGTTATTACGTCATTAAACCCCAAGATCACGTCACCGTTCCTGCGGTTTGTCGCTGCAGGAAAAACCACTTAGATTGTGACGTTTCTGTTAGCCTGCTAGCATGCTAACACATCAAAATACAGCCTGACAGATTAAACTGCTGGCCCTGAACGCATCATCACAGCACCAGAACCGGGCCGTGAGAGGTACTGGTCCGGAAAGGTTCTGTAAGCTCGGTCTGGTTCTTGTGTCCAGATGATGAAGAGTAAGGCGGACGAGGAAGACTACTGGAACAGCAGCAAGTACAACGCCTTCACCTTCGATGACGCAGATGATGAGCTGAGCGCGGTGAGACCAGAACCAGAACCAGAACCAGAACCGGGCTCTGGTTCACAAAGCTGCTGAGAGTCCAGATGCTCCGGTTCTATGGCAAACCCTCAGTATATTTAATGGTGTAGACACATATTTATATAATTAAATGATTCAAAACCTAACATGCAATTAAAAATTACATTTCCTTCACATAAATAATAAACTAATAACTATATATATGGCGATTCCTGGTTTAGATCAGTGGCCTAGTCTAAGTCTTGACCTGCTATTGCAACTGAGAATAACAATAAACAATGGTCAGCTTGAATACAAATGCACGCCACACTTTTCAGATATATAAATATTTTTCCTCCTCATAGATTAAAGTTATCAAATGTTAGATTTTTAATCATGATTTTTTTCAATTTGACCTCCTAACCGCTCAAGTGAGCATCACATTTCTATTTCCTGTCCTGTTTTCAGCTGAAGGAAACCAAGAAGGCGGTGAACAGCATCGGCCCCCTGCTGGCCGAAGACGACGAGGAAGACTGGGAGCGGGTCAGCTGGAGCGGAGAACCTGTCGGCAGTAAGTCCGCCTCCCTCCCACCTGTTGGGGATCCTCCGCTCTGATTGGCTGCTCACCTGTGGCTCCTGTGTGCTCAGGTATATCATGGTCAGTCAAAGAGATGGCGGCGTCCAATCAGAGGGCAGACAGAGAGCCCGCCTTCCCCAAGATCTCCACAGAAACGCCGTCACTCAGCAAGAGCCAGTCGGGCATTTCTCTGAGTTCTCTGTTCAAAGGTGAGACCATGATCAGGTCACATGACCTGGAGGCGGGCTATCCGGTCAACAGGACATCATGCACAATCACATCTGGACCTAGCAAAATATGATGAATCGATTAAATCGATTCGTCACGCAGCTGTAGAGGTCATGTGACCGACCTCTGCTCTGTTTCCAGGGAAACCAAAAGGCGGAAACCTGCAGACCTTCAATGACGGTGAGTCAGACGAACGAACGAGTCACGTAGCGATGCTAATGTCACGTAGCAATGCTAACGTCACGTAGTGATGCTAACGTCACATAGCGATGCTAACGTCACGTAGCGATGCTAACGTCACGTAGCGATGCTAACGTCACATAGCGATGCTAACGTCACGTAGCGATGCTAACGTCACGTAGCGATGCTAACGTCACGTAGCGATGCTAACGTCACGTAGCGATGCTAAGGTCACGTAGCGATGCTAACGTCACGTAGCGATGCTAACGTCACGTAGCGATGCTAACGTCACGTAGCAATGCTAACGTCACGTAGCGATGCTAACGTCACATAGCGATGCTAACGTCACGTAGCGATGCTAACGTCACGTAGATGCTAACGTCACGTAGCGATGCTAACGTCACGTAGCGATGCTAACGTTCTGTTTCAGTCCTCGGCGACTCGTCGCTACGCCTCTACACTCCTGAGCTCCGGAAACCCAAATCAGAGTACAAGGTAATCTGATTACTGTCTGTAATCTGATTACTCTCTGTAATCTGATTACTGTCTGTAATCTGGTTTCTGTTGTTTTCCTCTTCATTTCCCTTGATGATGTCACCAGGATCTGGTCAGTGATTGGTCGGCAGAGGAGACGGTTCAGAGGCTGCAGCAGGGGAAGGTAAGCGACCCGGCAGCGTGCGCCCAGCGGGCCGACCAGAACCAGAACCTCCCTGTTTGTGCCCCGCAGGGCGTGGCTCTGGAGAAGTTCCGCTCCCTGCTGGACAAACTGCTGCTGCTGGACCTGGCCGTCGCCGCCCACGATGGGAACGCCATCACTGCCGTAAAGTTCCCACACACCGTTCCCAAAAACTTCATTCATAACGACCCGATCAGACGAAGCGCTGGTTCTGACTACAAAACATTGTTTTGTCAACATTATTGAGAAGAAAAAGCAGCAAAATCTTTGACAGAAATTGAATTAAATCGTCATTCGGGCTAAAGTTAGCTTATTGGTGAACATTTAGCTGTTAGCAAAACTCAAGTGTAAAATATCATTTAGGGAGCTTTTATATAATCAATATTACATTTATTAGCTTGAAGAAAAGTTCAGGTAAATGTAATTACAGTCAAACTCATTTCTGAAAGAGAAAATGATGCAGATTCAGGCTGCTAGCTAACAGCAGCAGCTATAAATATTTTGATTTATGTTTTAGTAAAAACATGATCCAGTTTTATAAACCAACACGAATCCACAGATCATGAATCATAGAAATTATAGAATCAAACCAGTTTGGGGAGTAAATGCTCACATACAGCTAGCCAAGGCTAACAGTGTTTTATGCTTTCATATCCTAATTTGGAGCAATATTTTAGAAAATATATGGAAATTAAGGCTGACGTTTCTGAAAGATTTAGACGGATTAATAGCAAGGCAGAAGCGATTAATCGGGATTAATCGCTTATTGATCGAGTAGAAGAGTGAAAACTTTCTGCTGACTCGTTGAAGTTTGTGTTTGCAGGTTCTGATCTACCTGAAGAGGACGCTGTGCAAAGGTGCGTCTCTCCCTCGGTTCTGCTGCCGCCTCTGAACGTCACACTCTCACCGTTTGGGTTTTTCTGCTCAGAGGTTTTATTCCGGGAGCTGGAGTCCAGGCAGACGGCGCTGAGGCATTTCATCCACTACCTGACAGAGAGCAGAGAGCAGAGGCTGCTGCTGGAGCTGCTGAGGTGTGGACTCACCTGGACTCACCTGGACTCACCTGAACTCACCTGAACTCACCTGGACTCACATGAACTCACCTGGACTCACCTGAACTCACATGAACTCACCTGGACGCACCTGGACTCACATGAACTCATCTGGACTCACCTGGACTCACATGAACTCACCTGAACTCACCTGGACTCACCTGAACTCACCTGGACTCACCTGAACTCACCTGGACTCACCTGGATGCACCTGGACTCACCTGAACTCACCTGGACTCACCTGAACTCATCTGGACTCACATGAACTCACCTGGATGCACCTGGACTCACCTGAGGTCACCTGAACTCACCTGGACTCACATGAACTCATCTGGACTCACCTGGACTCACCTGAACTCACCTGAACTCACCTGGACTCACCTGGACTCACATGAACTCACCTGGACTCACATGAACTCACCTGGACGCACCTGGACTCACATGAACTCACCTGGACTCACATGAACTCACCTGGACTCACATGAACTCACCTGGACACACCTGAACTCACATGAACTCATCTGGACTCACCTGGACTCACATAAACTCACCTGAACTCACATGGACTCACCTGAACTCACCTGAACTCACCTGGACTCACCTGAACTCACCTGAACTCACCTGGACTCACCTGAACTCACCTGAACTCACCTGGACTCACCTGAACTCACATGAACTCACCTGGACTCACCTGGACTCACTTGAACTCATCTGGACTCACCTGGACTCACATAAACTCACCTGAACTCACATGGACTCACCTGAACTCACCTGGACGCACCTGGACTCACCTGGACGCACCTGAACTCACCTGGACTCACCTGAACTCACCTGGACTCACCTGAACTCACCTGGACTCACCTGGATGCACCTGGACTCACCTGAACTCACCTGGACTCACCTGAACTCATCTGGACTCACATGAACTCACCTGGATGCACCTGGACTCACCTGAAGTCACCTGAACTCACCTGGACTCACATGAACTCATCTGGACTCACCTGGACTCACCTGAACTCACCTGAACTCACCTGGACTCACCTGGACTCACATGAACTCACCTGGACTCACATGAACTCACCTGGACTCACATGAACTCACCTGGACGCACCTGGACTCACATGAACTCACCTGGACTCACATGAACTCACCTGGACTCACATGAACTCACCTGGACTCACCTGGACTCACCTGAACTCACTTGAACTCATCTGGACTCACCTGGACTCACATAAACTCACCTGAACTCACATGGACTCACCTGAACTCACCTGGACTCACCTGGACTCACCTGAACTCACCTGGACTCACCTGAACTCACCTGAACTCACCTGGACTCACCTGAACTCACATGAACTCACCTGGACTCACCTGAACTCACTTGAACTCATCTGGACTCACCTGAACTCACATGAACTCACCTGGACTCACCTGGACTCACATGGAGCACCTGAACTGTTTGCTTGCATCTCATTTCTTCTTCTTCTGCTCCTCAGGGCGCTGGGTCGGACGGAGGAAGCCGCTGTAAGTCGTCAGCTGTAAATACAAGATGGATGCTGACCTGCTGCATGGCGGCCATCTTGGAGGGGTCATCTGCTCTCCTCTGTGTTTTCTGTTTGGCAGACAACAGATTTAATTCATCAAGTCAAATTCACACATCTATCATGTGTTTAAGGACATGTTTGTTTTCTTTTAAAGTATTTTTGAATCAGTTCATGGTTCATTATGGTTAAACATTATTAGTGGGGTTAACAAAATAAAATAAGATTAACAGATTAAAATTTGATGCATCATAAGCGTTTTATAAACCACATCAAATCATGTTTATGTGTTTTATTTAGACACTAAACAGTTTTAGTGTTGAAGTGAAAAATCCAGCAGTTCTGAAGCATCTTCTGCTGTTAGCTTAGCCACACAGAGAGGATGACCTCTCTAAGATGGCCGCCGTATTTCCATTGTGGGGTCTACTCTTTATGATGATGATGATGATGATGGTAAACGCTCATCTGTCTCCATGGTAACAGCTGCTGCAGTATAAAGACTACAAGAACATAACAGACGAGAACAAGAGGCGGGACTTCCTGAAGAGCTGCCTCAGGTGAGCAAGGAGGAGGGAATGACGAGGAATTTGTAGAAGAGAAATGAAAGAAATGATTAATAATTCAGGAAGTGTTTGTTTGTTTGTTTACATTCTGATGAGTTTCGTTGGTTTCCAGCCTCCAGTTTGGCGGCGAAGATGGAAACCATGTTCAGGATCACTACACCCTGCTGGAGCGGCAGATCATCATCGAGGTCAGTCTGTTCCCAGTCTCCTCCCAGTCCTCCCAGTCCTCCTGTTGATGCTCCCTGTGGTCCTGCAGGCGGCGGACCGGAAGGCGGAGCGGGAAGGGAAGCTGGAAGTCTTCCAGAAGTTTCCCAGAAAAGCCTCCATCCTCAACATGCCGCTCATCACCACCCTGTACTACTGCTGCTTCTACCACTACACCGAGCCGGAGGTCAGACTGGGAACCAAACCCAGACTGGGAACCAGACTGGGAACCAGACCCAGACTGGGAACCAGACCCAGACTGGGATCCAGCTGGTTAACTGGGAGGAAGTGAGCCAGCTGAACTTCCTGTTTTTCTGTCTTCAGGGAACCTTCAGCAGCCCGCTCAACGTCCGGCAGACGTTCAAGGTGAGACGCGTTTTCTCTCTGACCTCTGACCTCTGGCGCGGTGGCTAACGCTGTCCCTCAGATCTCGGAGAAGCAGTACTTCACCACGGCGCTGGCGGCGCGGGCCAAGCTGAAGAACTGGGCCGACGTGGACGCCATGTTTAACTCCAGGAACTGGCTCGGCTTCTCCAAGAAGAAATCTCCGCTCAGCTTCCAGCGCGTCGTCGACATCCTGCAGAAAAACTCCGCCCCCACGCAGGCGAGTGGGCGGAGCACCCAAATGTTTACGCTGCTAAGCTACGGCAAGCCGTTTACCGCACTGAGCTTGCTTTATGACTACATATTATGAAGCTCAATTATCTGTGATTATGATTTGATCAGACAGAATTACACTCTGCCTGCTGGGAGCAGCAAATGGACGCTTCAATTCACAATATCTACAAAGAATCAATGACTTCCTGAAGAAAATATTTCATTTATCTTCTACTAAATTATGACGAGTCATGATCTCAGTTTTAGTTTTAACTAGTCATAATTCTGATTCAAGATTTGTTAAATAACCATTCTGGATGGTTAAAATGCTTCTTAGGAATCCAGAACGTAATTACAGACATGATCATCAGATTTTATGCTAACTTGGCCTGCCATACTGCGTGCTAACAGGTGCTACAGGAATACGTCGGACTCGTCAGCGACGCGGAGCTCAGGATCGGATTGGCTCAGAAGCATAAATGCCACGACATCGTCATCAACGTGAGTTCTCTGATTGGCTGCTGGCCACTGCCGTTTAAACCAATGAAACGCAGGGGGCGGGGCTTAGAGGTTTCTCTGCCTGTTGGTTCATCAGACGTACCGAGACATGAAGGACCGGAAGCAGCTGGCCGAGTACCGGAAGAAGCTGCAGCGCGGTTCGGCGGAGGAGCGGAAGATCGACGAGTTGCTCAGCAACCAGGTGAGGAAGAGGAGGAGGAGGAAGAGTGTCACGGTTTTGGTCATGTGACTCATCCGGTCTGCTGCTTCCTTCACAGCAAATCCGATGGAAAAACTGAGGACTTTTATTGTGAAACTCAAGTGGAAGCTTCCTGTTCGCCATGAAGCAGAAAGTGGGCGGAGCCAAAACTTCCCGCCGAATCGTTGCCAAGGCTTCTGGTCCGGTCGGGTCAGAACCGGTTCTGGTTCTGAGTCCATGTTTACGTCAAATTAACCATGTTTGTGACTTACAGAAGAAAAACTGTTAAAAACATGAAGTATGAAGAAATAAAGTGACTTTTAAAATGAAAATACAGAGAAAACGCGAAAAAAGGTCAATAATAAAGGCTGCAGTGACGTCAGAGCTCCAGCAGAGGGCAGCAGCCTCAGATGAACGTACTTTATATTTATTGTGGAGCTAAAATGTTTTAAAATTTACATAAAATCTCATTTTACAAACCAAACGGGTCATTTTCCATAACAGATAAAAAATATATAACAGTCATATTTCATCACACACAGGAAAATATTCAAACTTTCATTTTTTGCTGTTTTACAAGTAAAAAAATTCTGAACAATTGAGAAAGTCACAACAGAACACATTGTTTTGCTCCAATTCTCCCTGATGCAACGCACGTCTTCCTTCCACTCAATTTGTTACTAAAGTTAGATATTTCAGCTGTAATTATTGAAGTTTTATGAAATATTTTAAATTCCTCCAGTGAAAACATCACAACATAAATTCCAGTTCTAATAAATTCCTGGTTCTGGAAGTACCAGGCGACTGTGGGACGGAACGGCCATCATTTACTGTGACGTCATTTCCTGCCACCAGCTGGGTCCATTAAACAGCAGAAACAGAGCTGGAGCTGGTCACTATGCCAACTGGCCACCAGGTGGCGCAGCGGCAGCGTTTTCCCGCCGCCAACCCGGAGGAGGGGCATCGTGACGTCACTCAGGCGGTGTCTCTGAAGGAGCCGCCAGCCGCCGCTCCATTGAGGAGCAGCGCGAGCGCAGAGCAGGACCCCCCGCGGCTTCACAGGTGAGTTTTTACCTGCAGCAGCAGGAAGCAGGTCGATCGATCAGCTTCATCGGTTCAAATCAATACAACAGAGAAATGATGAGAAAATCTGAGGCAACAAAGAAGCTCATTAAATATGAATTTTACCCTCGTAAAGCAAATGATGTGAAATGTTGAAGCAGCTTCAGGTTTCATGTTCATTTTCACTGAGATGTGTTACTGAAGCGTTTCTGTGAATGTTGGCTCGATAAACTACAGAAAATGAATGAAAAACATCAAGTATTTCATCTTTGAACAGAAATGTTTTCCTCTGCATGGATTTATTATGTAGTTTTTCAACATAGAAAATGATTTTTTCTTCCAGATCATGGAGGAAAATTCAAGTCAACATTATTTAAAACTGACTGTAAATAAAGCAGAAACCTAAAAGTTACATATTTATCCTCAGAAAAAGTTAAATGTCTGCAGCATGATAACGTTTTAATCATATTTTACATCGATGCTTTCAGAAAGACAAAAATATATAAAGTTTTGTAGAAATGCAAACATTAAAGTAAAAATGATTTATTTTTATCCAGCCTCCAAACTTCAACTTCTCTCATTTCTTCTTTCCTGTCAATTGATTATCAAATAAAGACTGAAGCAAATAAAACCTTTAAAAAGAAAAACCGATGAGGAGGAGGGAGGAGGAGGAGGAGGAAGGTCCATCCATCATCTCAGCTCTTTAGCTGTTAGCTGGATGGTGACAGAAACATCGTCAGTCAGATTCAGTTATTGATCGGAGCAGCTGGTAAAACCCCAGGCTGGACTTTACAGGAACATGTTGCTCATTCCTCAGCAGAACGTCTGACTTTAGCGGTGATGCAACAGCAGAAACGACTCCCACGACTCAGTGATGTCGCCTGCATCTGCTTCAGCCCCGGAAACGAAACGTCCTCAGAAACGCACCAGCACCACAGCTTGAGAACCGACGCGCTCTCTTTGTGTTTCATTGTATCTGCAGGATCAATGAGTCTAAAACCAGCAGAGGGAAGGAAACGGCTGCAGGAACCAGAACATCGCTTTTGAGGAAACTGTGGTTCAGTGACACTTTTTTCTCAGAAACTGATCCGTCCAGGATTTGTCAAAACACCAGAGAGAAGAAACAAAGGTAAAATCTCTTCATTGCTTTGGGTTTTTATTTATTAGACTTACTGGAATCTGGTGGTTTTACCTGAATATTAGTCAAATATGAAGCAGGAAAGAAAACCTAGAATAGCTTCACTGACTGGAAGACTGTAAAGATGCAGAACAAGCCCACATCATCACTGCACCACCACCGTGCTTTAGTTACACACTGCTGCATGACAAACATCATTTCAATAACGTTTGTCTCAATAACAGAAGATAGTTATAATTTAGACGGTTATGTCTAAATTATGACCCTTCAGAACATAAACGTGTTACTGTGATCATCTTCTCACCTGCATGTGTGAAACAAGCCCACATCATCACACCTCCACTGCCGTGTTGCTAAGTTCTGCTGGTGCTAACCTGACTTCCTGTCAGGTCAAAGTTCTGTCCTTCATCCAGATCCAGCGCTTTAGCATTAGCTTATGCTAAATGCTAAGTTAGCTTTAGCTAAATACCATGCTGCCACGGCCCTTTAGCATTAGCTTTCAGTAAATACCACATTGGTATGTAGCGCGTTAGCATCAGTGAAACTCATGTTCATAATTAGGACAGTTAACTTTCCCCCTGGTGTTTCCCACCACTAATAAGTGACCTTTGACCTTCTGGCTGAGGCCTGGACAGGTTTGGGTGGAAATTTCCTGTTTCTGACTCTTAATTATTTGTCAACCAGAATAATTAGAAATGACCAGTTTTTGCTGTTTGCTGCTCCGAAGAAGTTTTTACACCTTTTAGTGTTCAGAGCCACAAACAGCTGAACTAAAGTTTTATTTTTCTGATTAGTTCAGTTTGGTTTGTGGTGCAGCGATAACCTCCACAGTGAACCTGTTTATATCAGACTGTGATCTGGTTTTGACTCTTCCTGCCAGAATAAAAGCACATCCTGTCTGACATGAGCACTGGGTTAGAAATCGTTGATCTGACCTCAAAGTTTCCAGCAGGATCAGAAAAAACCTTTAGCAGAAGCAGCTTGTTGTGAGCTAACGGATGTTACCGTCAGCAGTTTGTCACCTTTTTCTACACGTGGAAACAACAAAGAAATGAAGCCGCTGACCTCTGACAGGTGGAAAGCTCAAATGTTTTTATCATTGTAATAAAAATGTAATAAAATTATAAAATTCAACCAGGTAAATGACAATTGTTTTATTCCAGAGGAATGAAAAGTGACTGGTTTCAGTCTTTTTGATGCGAGTTGTGCTGAATGCTGTGGGCAGGAAGGGTTTCCTGTAGCAGTCTGAAACACAGCAACCTTCTGCTGCTTCTCATGACGTCTCGATAATTTCCTGTCTTCCTCCCTGAAGGTTGTTTTCCAGTTTAAGTGCTGCTGTAGCTCAGCGGTGATGCAGGGATGGTTGTTAGCGAAGCGTCTCGCTGCGGCTGGCAGAGAGCGATCCGATCCGTGGCCTCAGATCCGCCCAGCAGGATCCTTCCCGTGTCCATCCACAGCCGGAGCAGAGGATCCGATTTTCCCAGGAGTTTTTTCCTTGGAGATAAATGAATACTTGATATTAGCATAAAGCAAATCTAATGTTTTCTTTAGTAGTGACTCACTGACGGTTGAAGAACTGGGAGAATGAGGCAGGATTAACGTATTGCGGTTTGGTGTTTGCAGGTTAGCAGCAACTGCAGTGAGACCTAAACCCCCATTCAGACAGGTGAGTCAGACTCACCTGTCTGCTGGTCCTTTAAGACTAACATGAAGCATAAGGAGCAAAGCAATGAGACACCAGCAGCTCCAGGTTTGGTTCTGAAAGCCGCTTGTTTCCTGTGTCAGACGTGCAGCAGCTCATGTGAACAAACTTCAGCAGGTAGTGATGCTGCAGAAAGAGGAACTTCTCCGACTGAGAGAAAAAGCTGCAGTGTCAGAAAGAGGAACAGCGAAGACTTTACACGGAGATCGGTTATTTCTGAAGGATGTTTAACGAAAGCTCTTCCTCCGTCTCTAGGATTCACTGTGTGAACCAACAGGTTCTCACTCTGATTCAATGCGACAGTAAAGAACCTTGAAAACCAGCAACAACTTTATTTTATAGCACCTTTCAGCCAAAGAAACTACTGATAAAAAGAGGCTAAAAAGAGACATTAGGAAAAACAAACAGATTGACATTTTGAGTAAGTGGAAGTTGAGAGGACCAAGGACTGAACCTTGGGGAACTCCACAGATCATTTTATTCTGCTATGGTTCCATCAGACTGGCGGGTTTAAGATTTAAAACTTCCTGGTTTTCTCTCCAGATGCTGACCTTGTGGTGTGAGGCTGGCCTGACCCTGCGTAGATCCGGTCGCCTCTGATTGGGCAGCAAACTCTGGAGACACCAACCTGGGATTGGCTTTCTTCCTACAGACTCTATTCCTTGATTGGCCAGTTGTCTGAACCTTTGGATCGGATTGGCCGCCATGCTGAACGTCACCGGCGGGTTGTCGGTGAACCAGAGCGCAGGCAGCTGTGTGATGCCGTACGGGGATGACCGGGTTCCGCTGCTGGTTCTCTACATCGTCGTTCTGGTCGTCGGTCTTCCCGCCAACGCGCTGACTCTCTTCCTCACCTGGCAGCAGGTGCGCAGGAAGAACGTTCTTGGCGTTTACCTGTGGAGCCTGTCGCTGTGCGACCTGACCTACCTGTTCACGCTGCCGCTCTGGGCGGACTACGTCAACAGCGGCCACCAGTGGCGGTGGAGCTCGACGGTCTGCAAGCTGACGGGCTACATCTTCTTCACCAACATGTACATCAGCATCTTCTTGCTGTGCTGCATCTCCTGTGACCGGTACTGGGCGGTGGTCTACAGCCTGGAGTCCCGCGGCCAGCGGCGGCTGCGCCACGCCGTGGTCATCACGGTGGTCATCGTGCTGGTGGTGTCCGTGGGCCACAGCGCCGTCTTCACCATGAAGGAGGGGAAACTTCAAGACTCGAAGCTGTGCTTCGAGCCGAGCCAGAGGAGCGTCCAGGTGATGGGCTTCAGCTACGCCCGCTTTGTGATCGGCTTCCTGCTGCCGCTGCTGCTGCTGGCCGTCACCAACCGCTGCGTCTTGACCAACGTCCAGCGCAGCACGGGCCTCCACGGCGGCCAGAAGCGGCGGGTCCGGCGGCTGGCGGTGGCGGTGGTGCTGCTGTTCCTGGTCTGCTTCGGGCCGTACCACCTGATCCTGCTGGCCCGGGCCGTCGTCACCCAGTTCCCCCAGCTGGTGGCCGCGCCCTGCCTGTTTGAGGGGACCATGTACACGCCCTACACCATGTCGCTCGGCCTGTCCACCATCAACAGCGCCGTCAACCCCATTCTCTACGTCCTGTCCAGCAACAACATCCGCAAGGACTGCCGCCGCGGACTCACGCAGATCTGCGCGTGGTTCTGCCACGGACCGTCGACCAACAGCAGCCAAATCAAATCATTGGAGCTGAACGCCGGAACCGACACCGAGAGACATCCGGTTGGCCCAGAAGAGACCAGATAGAAACGGTTCCTGATCGGCGGCTGAAGCTCTGGCGTCCAAACGTTCAGTCCGCTTAAACCCGACTCCGGACCGTTTGTCCAGAAAGTCCGGTTCGGTTGGTGAAGTGACTTCAGTCCCGGTTGAAATGAACTCTGGTTCAGTTCCAATGTGAACCAAGCAGAGCAGAGACCCAAAAGCAGGAAGTGGACTACAGCGCAGGGCATTCTGGGTAAAGTTTTCTGTTTCGTTTCCTTCAGTGGTTCTTGGTGCAGCGCCCCCGCAGGCCAGGAGGGGAACGGGCTGGTTTGACTCTGAACCACAGCAGATGATGGAGTTCTGGTTCCAGTAGAACCGGGTCGACCGGACCGTCAGGAGGACGACTTGCTCCTGTTCAGGACCGATGAACGAGTTCTTCTGGGACAAAATGTTAAAAATGGAATTTGTGATGTCAGGATGTTTGTAACCTGATTAAAGAAAAGCAGAATGCGAGTTTATTGCAAACCAAACAAATAAAAGCTGTAAGTACAAGTTGTAAAGTCAGTTACCAAAATAAAAGCCGATTATGAGTCATAAAATAAGTTGAAATTCATAATTATGAAACAAAAAACTAATTAAAACTGAACAAAATAAAACTAAACTTTAATTCACTAAAATTACAATATTTTGAAAAGTGATGAAAATCTAAAAGTTGCAACAAATTTCAGGATGATTTTGATTCAATAAATATTTTGTCGCTGATCTGATAAAGTCGGTTGAACTTCTGCTGAACCGTTTCCTGCCGCCGCAGCAAAAACATCCAACTGCTGTTTCACACAGAAACCACAAACTGTGTGTGTGAAAGTGTGTGTGTCTGTGTGTGAAGGTGTCTGTGAGTGTGTGTCTGTGTGTGTGTCTGTGTGTGTGTGCGGATGTCGGCTGTCAAAGGTCAAATGGAGTTCAGCAGAAAATAAAAAGGTCAAAGCTGAAGGAAAGTTTCCAATCAAAGCTAAATTTGATTTATTTTCATTTTTTCTCCCAGCTGCTCTGACGCGGTTGCAGCTCCGCTCTGATTGGCTGGCCTGTTGCTTCCGGTCTCAGACGGACGCTCTGATTGGTCGCCTCCTGCTGAGTAAACACTCGCCTCATCAATGATTAACGCGGCTGTCAGACTCTCGGGGTCAAATTAATCATTGATGGCTGACCTCAAAATGCGCGTCGCCATGGCAACAGGGCAGCATTTCTGCTTTGATGAACTCTTGATCTCATCTTTACAAAAATGTTTCAGAATCTCATCAGGAAAAAATCATTTGTTACATAAAACAGGAAAATAAAGATGGAGGAACAGAATTTACTATTTTACAACAGGAAGTGGAACAAATGTAAATAAATCTGCTTCCTGTTATTTGGTGAATCTTTAAAATGTGTGATAAGATTTTTTTGTCATCTAAACAGAAAAATGAACTAAATAGTGAAGTCAATCCTGCTTTAGAACTGTTTTCCTTCCACTCAACTTTCCAAAAGGAGCTGCTGACACAATGAGCTCCAGGTTTTTATCTCAGCTTTCGCTCAGAAGATGAAAATAAAACCAGGATCTCCATAAAACCCGTTCTGAGACCCGGTGGACCGGAACCAGAACCAGCAGGTGTCATGATGATCCAGATCATCTCCAACTGGAACTGCAGTCGTTTCCCTCCATCGATCTCCAGACAAAATGAAAACTTGACTTTGATCCTAACCGAACAGCGGTCCGGTTCTGTTCAGTCCAGGTGAGACGGTTCTGATGTTTAAAACAAGCAGTGGAGTAGTTCCTCACCTCACCTTTTCTCCTTCCACCAAACTTTCTTCACTCATTTCACGTTTAGATATTTTTCCTCAGTCTCTCTCTTGTTGCATTGTGACCTCTGACCTTGGCTGGAGTGGGTCAGCCTCTCTGGGAAGATGAATGATTTAATATGGAAACCCATTTCTGCCAAGAATTAAGAAATAAAAGCCCAACAGGAAAACGTACCTGCAAGTTCTCATGTAGTCATTCCAAAGATAAATGTCGTAATTATGAGTTTTATTATGATTATCAGACATAATTGGAGTTTTAAGTCTTAATTTAAGGGTTTAGTGATAAATTAGAAAAGCTGTAAAGATGTAAAACTTTCTCCTGAAGTCCCAGAGGTTCAGAAACGGAGCGCTGCGTTTCCTCCGGAGCGTTACCTGAACAGGTGAGACTCACTCAGACTCTCCTCTGGTTCTTTATTGTGGGTTTTTTGGCTGCTAAACATTTCATCATTACAAATATTCTTTAACTGATTCTGGAAGAAGTAAAAGCAGTAGTGTCCAGGTGTGACTCCGCCCCCTGTTACCTGTCCGGAGCCAGGGGGCGGAGTCAGATTAAAGGTGGTGAAGGGGGAAGAGTAAAGATCATCATTTACAAATCAAAGATTATTTTTTCTCCTACAACAACGACGATGATGATGTGCAAGCTTAACAAAACTTTAAAATAATTAATACAGTGTTTTTCTTTTTTTCCTCAGAGTGAGACCTCCCGTCCGTCTGAGCGGCTAACACATGGAAAGTGTTTTAATACAGAAGAGGAAGAACAGGAAGTGACTGGTCCCAGGGCCGTCGAACCGGGGCGGGGGCGGGGCTTCCCAGCAGGTAAAATCCATCCAGGTAAAACCGGGGAAGGGGGCGGGCTTCCCAGCAGATAAAATCCATCCAGGTAAAACCGGGGAAGGGGGCGGGGCTTCCCAGCAGGTAAAAGCAGCAGTAACCTCAGACTCACTCTGTCATGATAAAATCCTCAAAATAAAAGCTAAACTCACAGTCTTCAGTCTGTTCGACAAGCCCCGCCCCCAACAGACATGGAGGTGGGCGGGGCCAAACGTGTGCAAGGGGCGGGGCTTAGGGCTCCAGGTCCAGGCTGTCCAGGGTGAGCTGGCTGCGGTGGGGGGAGTTGGGGCTCGGGGGGCTGCTGGGGTTGGAGCTGTTGGAGGGGGTCGAGTGTTTGGTGGAGTCCGAGTCCGGCTGGGCGAGCGAGGGGGGAGAGAGAGAGAATGAGTGTAAATGGAGGGACGGTGAGAATCAGGTGGACAAACTTTCAGTCATGAGGGACAAAAATCATCAGAGGAAAAATTCACTCAATAATAAACTCAGTTTTAGAAATGGACACGCTAACGCTAACCACAGTGTTTAGCTTAGCACTCTTGCTAAACAGTTAGTGGTTTTGCTAACTTTGAAAACATTTACTTATCTTTATGTGAATTAATTTTTCCAGATAAATTCTGTTTGAATAAAGTTTATATCCATGCTCTTATTTTGAAGTCTATGTGCAGCAGCTCTATTTCCTGTTGCGTTCTTTTCCCAGAATGCAACAGTTTAAAATCTCCTGATGTCCTTCAAGTTTACTGTAGTTAATTTTGCTAAATTAGTAACAGAGTTAGCAAAAATCAACAACTAAAAAACTGAAACTAGGAGTGAAAGAACAGGAAGAGGCTGAAGAGACTTCCTGGAGGCATGTAATGACAGCTCTGATCCTGTAGAGGGCGATATAATAAACTGACTCATTTAGTCAGTGACATATGGGGAGTTAAATTTGGCACATTAGCTTCTGCTAAATACCATGTAGAATACAAACAGACTTTATTGTCCTGCAACGGGGAAAAAGTTACTAAAATATAAAAACCAGATCCAGAACAAGGTCTGACCAACTGAGTCACTTTTCCAAATGTACCAAAAGCGAAGCTAATGTTTATGGCTAGCGCTTTAGACTCGGCTAGCACAGTTAATGTTTTAGAGCCCAAAACTGAAAATCACAGAGGATAAAATATGTGTTGAATGTCTGCGCTGTTACAGGAGAGGATTACAGTTTTCTAAGTTTTTGGTTTGATTGTTTCTGTTTCTAAACCATTTCATGTACTAATCAGCTAACTCAGAGAAAATAAACAATTGAGTAAAGGTTGCTGGATGTTGATGAAACCTGATTCATAAATAAATTGTTGCGTCCAACATTCTGTCTGAAAATCTCATCCTAAACTAAATCAGATGTTTTGCTGCACCACTTAAAACCCTTCAGAGTGCCACAAACGGCCCACGAGCCGCACTTTGGACACCGCCGCCTTTAGAGGTGGTGGTTTTACCTCTCGGTCCAGGTCCAGGTCCGGTTCACAGGCGCCGCGTGTTGAAGCTCCTGAACTGAAATCTGGACCAACAAACACAAACATGAGCAACGCAAGAACGCAGCAACGCAGCAACGCAACACGGAGGAGCAACGGTGTGACCCGGGACGACCCGGTGCTCCCGGTGTGACCCGGGTCGACCCGGTGTGACCCGGGACGACCCGGTGCTCCCGGTGTGACCCGGTGCTCCCGGTGTGACCCGGTGCTCCCGGTGTGACCCGGTGCGACCCGGTGTGACCCGGCGGGTTTTCACCTGAAGCCGTGCGCGTGATGTGCGACTTGCTCCTGTGTTGCCGGGAGATGCTGGACAGTGGGCGGGGCTTGTCTCTGATTGGGTCGTCGGAGGGCATCACACTCTGAACACAGAACCAGAGAGACGCGTTGAACAACCCGACAGAACTCCGTTAAATATTAATAATCTGGATTATTAATACTCCAGATTATTAATGTGCTTCTGCTGGAGCAGAATAAAAATAAGATTTAAATATAAAAGCATCAAAATCAGAAAATAACTTCATGTTTCCATGGATTATTTATATTTCAGAGACATTAATGCTTTAATAAAAGCCGAGTTAAAATCATTTTATTCTATTAAACTCAGCCTTTATTGGCCAATTTAAGTAAAATGTGAACATTTTTATATCCCATAAAGTTGAACATTTATTTCTCAGGGGAAAACTTCAAAATATAAAAATGGAAATTTAAATTTTTTATTTGCACAATGGAAAATTTGAGAAAAGTTTTCAAAGATTTTGCACATTTGGAGATTTAATTGAACAATTATAAATAGTTAGTAGAATCTCTGATAAACTCAGTTTTAAAGGCCAATTTAAGTCAAAATATATATTTTAATTTTCCATGAATATAAAAACATGTTTCTCAGAAAATGTATTTTTTTCCAGACATTTTGAACTTTTGGAAACATTTAATTTAGCAATAAATTATCAATAAATCTTTAATATTAAAATAGCAGATTTTTTAAATTTCTCAGGAAAACCAACAAATCTAAAAGTGAAACAGATGAACTGGGTCGGGTGAACAGGTTCTTCCTCCCTGTTGCTATTGAAGTCGCCTTCAATCGGTGGGAACCGTGAGTTTGTTGTTCTGCTGAAGCTGCAGGAGAAAGAGAGCAGCTGCCTACCCTTCCCAGAGAGGAGATGGAGGGAGAGGAGGAGGAGGAGGAAGGCTGCAGGAGGCTCTGCTGGGAGGAGGAGGAAGAGGAGGCCTCCTTCTGCAAGAAGGCGCCGGCCGATGCCGACGTCATGTGATAGATGTGCTCAAAGTTGGAGGGGGGGGAGATGAGGGTGTGACGGGAGGAAGAGGAGGAGGGAGAAGGAGACGGGGAGGGAGAGAGGGAGGTGAGGTCACCGACCTGAACAGAGGAAGAGGAGGAGGAAGAGGAGGAAGGAAAGAAGAGAGGAGGAGTCAGTGATGACCAGAGCTGTGAGAGGAGAACATGCCATGCAGGGAGGAGGAGAAGGAGGAAGAGGAGGAGGAAGGAGGTAGGAAAGAAGAGGAAGAAGAGGAGGAAGAGGCGTTACCAGGGGGAGGTCCATCAGGACCTGCATGCCGTCTCCCGGTCCCATGTGGGCCACGTGGTTGAAGTTGGTCGGGTTGGAAATCATCTTGGATCGGAGCTCCGGGTCCCTGAGCATCTCCCTGACGACAGGAAGCAGAGGGGCGGGGCCCCAGAGGGGCGGGGCTTAGATGTAAAAACCTTCCTCGCCATCATCATCACCGTTCAGATAATGAAGGAAGTTTCTCTGCAGCTCATTCAGGGCTTCAACTCCACACCGTCAGGTTTTAACTAAACGCTGATGCAATCTGTCATTTAGACAGATCAACACTTGGTGCAGACAGAGGGAACTAATCAATCGATCGATCGATCCAAGCTTTTCCCGGTTCTGAGGATCCGACTCACCTCCGCTGCTGGAGCCGCTCCTCTTCTGGAACCTTAAACAGGAACTTCCTCTTGCTGCGAGTCCGAACCATCAGCTTCCTGCTGTGGTCCGACGTCTCCGGGATGGTGAGGTCTCCCTCTGCCAAGACAGAGAACCGTCAGCCGGGTCCGGTCCCGGGTCCCGGGTCCGGTCCCGGTTCTGTGTTTGTACCTGACGAGGCGTTGCTGAAGTAAACCAGGCGAGGCGGTTCTGAGCTCAGCAGGTTCAGCGTTCCTTCAGCGTTCAGGGGGCGGAACTGGGGAGAGAGACGCCGTCAGCGCTGGGCCCTGATTGGCCGAGGGACGGTCAGCGCTGGGCCCTGATTGGCCGAGCAGAGTCGAGATCTGATTGGTTACCTTGCGCAGGGAGATGGTCTGGACCCATTCGGTGGTGTGGATGTCGAACACGTCCACTCCGTACTCGCTGTAAACCGTCAGGTGGGACGAGTTCGAACCTGAAGACCAAAGATATGAATGAAATGATCCCACAGCATGATACCCTCACCACCATGGATGGGTCGCAGTGTTTCTAATAACTGCAAAGAACTTCCTGTTATAGTCTTATAACGGGGATTACAGTTATGAATGGTTTTTGTGTGAAGGTTTAAAGTGAAGCTGCCATCCAGCTACAGCACAAGTCATATTGATGACTTGCCAATATTCTAAATTATCAGCAGAAAATCAATTCTGACATGCTGGAGGAACAGATCAGTGAGAAAAGATGTTCATCAATTATTATTACTTATTGGAAGCACACAGTTAATATTCCACTGGCCTTTATCAGTGCATTCTGGGCCTGTAAGAGCAGCAACAGGCCTGTTACAATAAGCAATAAATCAATTGATGAATTACAACCAGATCAATCATTTCCATTTGATCAATTCATCTTTTTTCTTTTTCTACCAAAATCTGGAAGATGAAGTTTTTAGTATGTTTGTTTTTGGGATCAAACTGTTTGCAGGGATTCTCCATTCATTCTGTTTAATCTTTACAGCAGGGGGCCCCCCCTGAGGGCCCCCCTGAGGGCCCCCTTGAGTTCCACCCCTGAGGGCCCCCCTGAGGGCCCCCCTGAGGGCCCCCCCTGAGGGCCCCCTGAGGGCCCCCCCTGTGGGCCCCCTGAGGGCCCCCCCTGCGGGCCCCCTGAGGTGTTAAATATTCATCATAATTTAACGTTTATTAATATGTTACTATTATTATTACATTACTGGCACATGGCCTGCAAACAGCAGTAGAATGGTTTCCCATAATAACGTCATTGGTTCTGGTGACATCACCGCCAGCAGGTGGACCTACAGCAGGCCAGCGGCGCCGCGGGCCACATCAGCTCCTGGGTCCGGGAGCGCCGGCCCTGCCCGTCCACGTAGACGCCCAGCTGGCTGAAGCAGAGCAGAACCTCGCCGGCGCCGACCTCCAGGGCGTGCAGCGCGTCCATGGGCTGCTGGGCCAGGAAGGCCAGGGACGGGTCGGCCGGGTTCACCAGGCTGATGGGCGACGACTCGCCCTGCAGCGCCAGGAGCGCGAAGCCGGACGAGTATCCGACGCACAGCCGGTCCCGCAGCATGCCCAGCCACTGCACCGTGCCCGGCGCCTGCACCTCCCACAGCTTCTTGTGGTACGGCTTGGCCCGGCCGATCTCGTAGCACTGGACCTGCGGGGCGGAACCCAGGGTTTAGAACCGGGCCGGGCCGGACCGGGCCCGCGGCGTCGACGGCTCTGACCTGGCGCTTGGCGGCGGCCAGCAAGCAGGCGGGGCCTCCGGGTCGGAGCAGCCCGGTGGTCAGAACCTGGCAGTTCTTGGTCTCTGCCAGCTTGGTGTCGAAGGACGACTCCGCCCCGTCCAGAACCCCCGACGGGTAAAGGTGGACCTGCCGGTTCCGGCCGCACAGCAGAGCCACCATCTTCTCCTTGGGAATGAGTTCGATCTGGTAAACCTTCTTACTGTCTGCGGCCCGGACGATGACTGCAACACAGACAGAACCATCAGAACCCGACTGCAACACAGACAGAACCATCAGAACCCGACTGCAACACAGACAGAACCATCAGAACCCGACTGCAACACAGACAGAACCATCAGAACCCGACTGCAACACAGACAGAACCATCAGAACCCGACTGCAACACAGACAGAACCATCAGAACCCGACCCCACACTGTGCTTCCCGGCTCGGTTCTGGTTTTGACTCGACATCTTTTGGGTCAAACATCCAACATTTACAGCAGGAAGAGATGAGAAATAATTTCTTGTGGCGCTGAAACCGTCCAGACTGGGTCTGAGGATCCGTCTTTGCTCTACAGTCAGAACATTAATTCTTAAACGTCTTCATGAGCAAATCGCTGCATTTCTGACTCACCGTCTCTTGTAACCTCGACGATGAACAAGCCGTCGTCTGTTCCCAGGGCGATCCGCTCCCGGTCTGCACAGAAAGATCAATACATCAGACCATCTTCAGTCCATCTTCCTAAACATCAGAAACTTTTACTACTTTATAGCAAAGAAATGTGGGGATTTTGAATAAACAGCAACATGTCGTCAGCATAAAGAGAAACTTTATATTTCGAACGCTGCAGTTACTTTATTCAGATTTTTACAACTTTTATAACTTTATCCTGTTGATATTGTAGTTTATCAAAACTTCTCATATCTTTACGATTTTGTTAATGACTTCATTGATTTATTACTTTATTATTATATTGACATGTCATCAGCAGAAACTTCATATTCAGACTGCTGCAGGAAGTAAAGCTCAGATAAGTCAAAGATTTTCATTTGTAACAAATGTTTTTTATAAATATGTGTTTTGCACCAAATTATGCAACATTTTGAATAGTTTGTATTTCTAAACATCAAGACAAAACAAAATTTGGAAGAGTCCGTAACCCGACTGAAAAAGAACTGTGACATCAGATCTGTAGAACTGAGTGACCAGAACAGAACCACAGACCCGGATCTGTGGTTCTGTTCTGGTTCTGACCGCGGCCGGTACTGACCCAGGACAGCGGCGCACAGTGCCGTCTTGATGAGTGGCAGCGATGCGTCGTACGCCTCATGCAGCATGTGGACCTGCTGGCTCTTCAGCTGGTTCTTGGTCAGGATGTTCTGCAGGCTCTCCAGAACCCGGACCCACTTCTTCTTCTCCTCCTCGCTCTCCGCCAGCACCAGCAGCGACACCGAGGAGAACTGCGAGCTCAGCTGCGATGACGTCACCTGCATCAGCGACAGTTAGGATGCGGCGGTCGGTAGGCGGCAGCGCGAGCCGCAGGAGGCGGGGTTTCCTACCCTGAAGATGCAGGGGACGTCCTTCCTGGTCGCGTGGATGACGTCGGACGCCAACACGGAGCTGACGGACAGATCTTCATCTCTGCAACAAACCCCAACATGAAATAAAACACAGAAATCCATCGTCCAATGATAATCCTTCTGACCCCGAGTTCACCTGAGGTCCAGGACCAGACTGGCCACCACGCCCGGCTGGGTGGACTTCCCCTCTGGAATGTCGTAGAGAAACAGTTTGCAGTCCGACACCACAGCGAACGCTCGCTGCCAGCCCTTCTTCACGCCGCTGGGCTTCGGGATCTGCAACAACGGAGCCAGAACTCTGAAGCCACGGCTGCTTCGTCTGAACCTCAGGACAAGAAGACCAGGAAGCGAAGAGCCGCTCTGCTGGAGGCCGGCAGCCTTACCCGGACGTAGCCCTTGTAGGCGGTGCCGATGCCCCTCTGGACGTCGATGCCCTGCGGCCTCTTGGCCTGATCCGCCGGGATGGGGCACAGCAGGGGGGCGTGGTCTTTACAGGCCACATGGCAGATGAAGGAGCAGACTGGAGACGCATGCAGAACCCATCAAAATGAGCAACACACACCGAGCAGACTCTGCATCGGATGAAACCGCAGAAACGTTTACCTTCGCAGGCGTATCCCTGGCGACTGAGGCCCACCATGAGGGAGGTGCAGTGGGAGCAGAGCGTGGGACTGGAGAACGTTTTGATGCTCAGCTGGTGAGCTTTGGGCTGCACACACAGGAAACACTCAGGTTTAACATGAAGAGAACAAAACTCAAAGAGTTTTAACCACAAAAACCTGATCCAGGTTTTACTGTCATCATTTAGATCAAACAATCCCAAAAACCTGGATTAGACAAACCAATCAATGTTTCAGAAAGAAAGGGTTCTTGTTTTCTGGAAAAATAAATCTAAAAGTCATCAGCAAAGAGTGAAACGTGATTTATCTGCAAAAGATGAAATTCAAAGATGAGCTTCCTGAGAGCGGAGCCCTGAGGAACTCCTGGTGTAAGGAGAAGAGAGGTGACAGTTTCCTGAAGAACCGACTGTCCAGATGTTTCAGTGTTAGATCTGTTTTATCTGTGAACCTCGCTGCTGATGAAACTCCAACCAGAGGCGGAAATGAAGAAAACAGCCTCAAATCTCAGGAAGCAAAACCTGATCAAGACTAATTTAAATGACAAAGTCCGACTGTTTGGAAGACGTCTGCAGAAACGAGTTTGAGTCGATTCGTTGGAGCCAATCAGAGGTGGCGGCGTACCTGGGGTGTGGCCATCGCTGAGCTCTGTAGGATGGGGGAGGGGCTTTCAGGAACCGACGCCGTTTTTTCCGTCCTGTTGACACAAAGCAGCCGGTAAACAAATTTCTACAACCACAAACCTTCAGATACTGGAACTGTGGGTGGATGACCTCGGTCTCAGAGGCGGAGGATCGGGAAGGCGGCGTGGTGAGCGACTTCTCGGGGGTGGAGTCTAAATCTCCCGTCTGAAAACCACAGAAAATGAGTTTTAGTCGTGAGAGCGGTTCTGGTTGATCAGGACTTTGGTTCTGATCGTTCTGCTCCAACTACAGGCTGATGAAGACGAATCCACAGAGACGAAGACCAAAACACAGCTATGAGGACCTTCATGTGTGGGAGGGGCTTAATCAGTGGGAGGGGCTATGTGAAGAGGGCGTGGCCACTCTGATTCTTCCATGTCATTAGTGAGCAGCTATGACTGAGGCTAGAGGTGACCACTAGGGGGCAGACGGAGGAGCGTTGGGATGGGTGGAGGAACGCCGAGGGACCTGCCGGGAAAAACTTACTTCTTCCCAAAGGGCGAGCAGTGAGGAGGCGGAGCAAAGTGACGCCTCCAGGTCACAGAGAGACACAAGCAACAGTCATTTAGTCATCAGACCTGCTGGCGCTGCGATTGGTCAGAGCGGCGAGCAGACTCACCCTGAAGGTGAGGTCCGGAACCAGCGGAGACGTGTTGAAGTAATCGAACATGGAGTCCTGGAAGTCTGGGAGCTTCAGGCCTGCAGAGACGCAACGAGTTAAACACAGCGCCGGGTCTGGGTGGGCTTCCAGGACAGATTCCTGACCTTTGTCGGAGCGGGAGCGGCTCTCCTCCACCTCCTTCTTCAGACCCTCCACCTGCTCCACCACCTCCCGCCTCTTCTCCTCGGACTCCTTCAGCTTGCTGCGGCCGGACAGACAAAGGTGTGTGAGGCGGCAGCGCCGAAACATTCCCTCCTGAGCCTGAGCCACAGTGACCCCTGACCTCTCCAGGTTGATGTTGGCAGCCTTGACTTTGCGCAGCTCCTCCTGGACCATCTGCTTGGCCTTCAGCTCGGCGTCCAGAGCCGACTGCAACTCCAGACGGGCCGACATGTCCAGCTTCTGGCTGCGGCGGACCTTCCACAGCGGGTCCTGCAGCGGGAACACAGCAGCATGAAGCTGCAGCGGCTGCATCAGGAGCACAGGGTAGCAGCCAGCAAGAGCAGCCCAGGAAGCACACAGTGAGGAAGCATGTGATGGACACGGATCAGGACAGGAAGAGCAAAAACGCCTCATAAAAACCACTCATTTCACTCTGACCCTGATTTAAAACAACCAGAAACTTTCAAAACTAATACTAACAGCACCGTCTTCAAACCAGCAACCTTAGGTAGCCTAGCCCGCTTAGCGTCTTCTGCATTAAAGCTAAAGCGCTAATTTGACATTGTTTTATAAAGTTTCCGCTGAATAAAGTTTAACTTCTGTCTGGAAGCTGTGAAGTAGTTCAGCCATTTATATTCATGTTTAGCATTAGCTTCAACTAATTGGCACAGCATGCTAGCTTTAACCTTAGCTAGGAACCATGGTGGTCTTTAGCATTAGCTTCAGCTAAATAACATATTGGTGTAGTTCCTTAGCCTTAGCTTAATGCTATGCTGGCCCATCTGCTTTAGCATTAGCTGGAGCTAGCAGAACAAATGTTTTCCATTAGCGTGATAGCACTGCTCAGGATCAGTTCCAGTTCAGGAACTCCTTCAGTCGGGTCCAGAACCTTGAACTGGTTCTGTTCATGGTCCACATGCTGCTAGCCATGCAAACGTCCTACAGATGAGGCGGAGCGACTCCTTCATGGCCCAACACTCACCATCCTGTCTCCACCAATAGGAGCCCAGGGCTTCCTAGGGGGCGTGGCCACTCCTGACTCAGGCTGCCAGAGCGAGTCAGAAAACAGAACCAACACTGAGGAACTACAACGGGTCAGACTGCAACATTAACGCACACCTTCACAATAAAAGCCTCTCTGAGGCCGAAGGAAACATGTTTAAGCTTTTAAAACGAGGGCTGGTGCTGAAGGTTCCCAGGAACCAGAGACCTGACCCGGTTCTGAGGGAGTTCGGGTTACCAGAGGTCGGGCCCCGAGGCTGGAGCTGCGCAGCGTCTCCAGCTCCTCCGTCATCTTGGTGGCCAGAGCTTGCAGGTAGCCGCGGGCGTCCTTCTCATCGCTGACCCTGAGCAGAGAGGAAACAGCGGTCGTGAGTGCAGAGCGCCCCCTGGTGGCCGGAGGAGGCGGTTCTGACGGATCAGCCAATCACCATTGGATGATCTCTGAGATCTGGGCCTCCCAATGCGCCACGCTCTCTTTCTTGGAGGACAGGTCCTGCAGGTCGTCCTCCAGCTGCCGGTTCTGTGCCGTCAGGTTGTCCACGAACGAACATAGCTGCAGGAGAAGATCCGATTAGATCGTCGTTTCTCACATTCACTCATTGGTTCTGGACGGGTCGGCTCACCTTGTCCGTCTCGGCCGTTAGCTTGCGGTTCTCCTCGGTCAGCATGTTCTTCTCTCGCTCGTGTTTCTCCTTCAACGCAGCAACGGCGTCGTCCATCTCGTTCTGCCTGTAGAGCCACACGCACACCGGGTCAGAAACCGGTCCGGTCCCGACCCGGCCCGGTCTGCGGGACCCACCTGTCTCTGTTGGCTTTGTCCAGCTTGTCCCTGAGCTGCAGCAGCTCCTTGTTGGCGGCGAGCAGCGCCCCCTCTGACTCCTGCAGGTCCTTGCGGAGCGTTTTGATCTCGCCGGAGTGGGCCGAGTCCTTCCGGAGCAGCTCCTCCTCGTAGAACAGAACCTTTTTATCCAGCTCCGCCTTCAGCCGGGACAGTTCCTGCTGGGACTCCGCGCCGCCGCCGCCGCCGCCACCCGCGGCTCCTCGGCCCTGCTGGGACTGCAAACAGAACCACGATGACTGGGCCGCTGCTGGGAAGTCTCTGGTTCTGGTTCTGGTCCCACCTTCAGGCTCTGCAGCTCCGTCTCCAGCTGTTTGGAGTAAACTTCACTGTTCTCCCTCAGCTTCCTCTCCTTCGATGCCTCCGCCTTCGCCTCGTCCAGCTGAGCCTCCAGCTGGCACACAAACAAAGGCTTTTATTGTGAAAGGATCGCTGCTTAAGGAGTAAAACATGAATAAAAATAAATACAGGAACATCTGGAAGACTTCAATAGTTTGTGTCATTTTGATGATTGTGGCTCACAGATGGTCCTGAAAACCCATATTAATATTATTATCATTATTATTACCATTACTATTATGGGCTGGCTGGAGGAGAAAAAGACACAAAAGCTACAGAAACTGGTTGTTCCCAGACAAATTCACATAATTTTATTTTTTTATTGATGTGTAATTTTCTGAGATGTTTCATTTCCTGTAAGTCAGAATTCTGAATGTGATAATAAATAAAGTCTGGAAATGTGTCAGTGTGTGGGATGAATGAGTGTTTCTGACGTGGGACAAAAATATTCTCACAGTATTTAACACTTCAGATGTCAAAGTTCATCAAAAAAGTCCCTTTAAAATGAATGAAGTATGTCTCCCTCTGGTGGCCGTGAAAAGTAACTGCAGCTTAAAGATGAACATATTTGGTCTGAAAATGAATTTCCACACCAAGAAATGACTGAAAAGTCAAGATAAACCAGATTATTACTGAAGAAAGATTTCAATCAATTCCAATGAATTCTACTGATCAGACAGAGCCGGTTATGTTTGAGGGCTAAAGTGTGATGGCCAGGGTGGGTCAGCCTGAGAGTTAAAGGCTAATTCAGGATTTCATTTTCAGTAGCAACAGCAATATTTACCAATATTTGACACTAAATTAGATTTTAAAAGTCCGGGGTGTTTCTGACCGTCTGCAGGAAGCTGCTCTATTAAGTCTTTTACTTTGAAGTGTTTCCTTGAGCCTTCCTCACCTCCTTGCGGTTCTTCTCCGTCTTGCGGATCTCCTGTCTCAGGGCGTCCATCTTCTGCATGAGTGCGTCCATCTCCTCCTCCTTGTCCCTCAGCTGGCGGGACAGGCGCTGCTTGGAGGAGCGCAGCTCGGCCATCCGCTCCGACAGCTCCGAGAACTCCTGCAGCGCCAGCTTCCTCTGGGAGTGCGCCTCCTTCAGCTCCTTGGTCTGGCTGCGCAGACGCTCCAGGGAGTCGGCTAACTGCTGCTCGGAGGGAGAGGAGGTTTGGAGACTGACTTAGTGAGGGGAGGGATGGACAGAGGGGACGGATGGACAGCGGGGACAGAGGGGCCTCCTTACCTTGTGGATGTCGTCCTTCTCCTGCCTCAGCGACTTCACCTGCTTCTCCAGGGCCTTCATCTTGGAGGCGGAGCTTTCGTAGTCCTGCCTGAGCGTGACGGCCTCCTCCAGCTGGTGCTCCAGCCTATCAGAGTCTGCCACATCGCAGGAAAACAGGTCAGGATCGGAACCGGGTCGACTAAGGCCGGAACCGGACCGACTCACTGACCTGCCAGCTTCTTCTTGAGCCGGTCGATTTCCTCGTTCAGCTTCTTGATCTCTTTGTCCCGGGTCAGAGTTCCTCCCCGCGCCGGAGCCTGGAGGGCCTGGGTGGACTCTGAGGGGTCAGAGGACCGGGTCAGGGACAGAGACGGACCGGGTCGGGACCGGAACCAGCCGGTCCTTGCCCGGGCGTTTGCCCACCTTGCAGTTTGCGGTTGAGCTCCTGTTTCTCCTGCTCCAGGCGCCGGATCCTCTTCTCAAACGCCTCCACCTCCGAGCCGGCGCCGCCGTCCGGCTCCGTTCGGACCCCCGGCGCCGCCCGGCCGGCCGCGCTGCGGTCCGAGAAGCAGCTGTCGGTGGTGAAGGTGAAGCCGACGAAGGGGAGGTGCTGGCCGGTGAAGCCGGTGTGAGACACTGGCGGTCCGATGTCCTGAAGACAAACAGAGCCGTGAAGGAGCAGCGGAGGATGACCGGAGGTTCTGGTTCCGGTCCGCTCCGGTTTAGGCCTCACCGGGTTCTTCAGGACGTCGTCGTCCACGTCAAAGTTGGAGGTGTCGGTGGGCGAGGAGACGTCGGGGATGTAGGGCGCCTCGGCGGAGCGGATGTTGTCCCAGTCGATCCCGCTGAAGAAGGCGTGGCCCTTGAAGTCCGAGATGCCGTTGAGGCCCAGCCGGCGGTCCCGGGAGCAGAGCAGCCGCTGGATCAGGTCCTTGGCGTCATCAGAGACGTCGGTCACATGGGAGGGGAACTGGAAACGCTCCTGGAAACCAGACAGGAAGTCAGGACCGGGGGACGAGCAAAGAGAGAGAGAGACGTCCGTCCACTGAGGGACACGCTCCCATTTAGAGGACAGGAAGTAGGACAGGAGTCTGGAGACGAACCGCAACCTGGAAACGGCAGCAGAGTAATCTGATTACATTCTGGGAGGAAGGAAGCGGATGGAGCTGGAATATATGGCTGAATAACACAACACTAATACTGATCAATAATTATCAATTATTATTGATTAGTTTTATGTTTTAGATTTCCGACATCCAGCCAAACTGGTGACGTGTCATTTCCTGTTTCAGCCAGGTTTCATTTCACACCGTTTTTACTTTAAGCAGCTATGAGACACAATGGAGAAACCTGAAACTGCTGCTGCGCAAGACAGCAGCAGTTTCAGGACAGAGCGAGCGAGTTGGTCGCTTGAACAAATCTTGGTCCCTGTGAAGGAAGGAAAACTTAAAAAGAACAGAAAGTAGGCAAAGGATGGAAGGAAGAAGGAAAAACAGAGAGAGGAGTAAGGAAGGAAAGTAGGGAAAGTAGGATGTGGAGTAAGGAAAGGATCCTAGCTGTCTCTCGTTTGATTATCAATTTTTCCTCCGGCGTTCAGATCAAAACAAACTTTCTGACATGAGGATCATTCTGCCTGGATCCCTGCAGTTCTGGTTCTGGTTCTGACCTCGTGGTTCATGATCTTGCCGTAGGTCTCCACCAGCGACTCGGCGTAGAACGGCGTCTCTCCGTACAGCATCTCGTACATGCACACGCCCAGCGACCACCAGTCGCACTCCGGCCCGTAGCGGCCCATCCCGTCCTCCATCGCCTGCAGGATCTCTGGGGAAATGTAGTCCGGGGTTCCCACCGCAACAGACGACTGCACCTGCAGCGCAACAGGAAACACAGGCTTTTATTCTGAAGGGTCACAATTAAATTACATCTTTCTTTCTTTCTGAAGTTCAGCTGCAGAGAAATCAACCGAACCGATCAGAACTGATCAGAACCGAACCGATCAGAACTGATCAGAACAATACGGGTCTGACTGACGTTACAGGAGACAAGGAGGGAAGGAAGGATGGAGGGAAACATAAACTAAACGTTCCAACCAAGACAAAATTTAAGACGTGTGATTATTTAAGGCCGACTTATTGTTGTTATTTTCTATTAGCAGTCTTAATTTAAGGCCTTAATATTAGATAAATCCACTGATTTGAAGGACATGTGGACACCAGGGATCAACCTGGTTATGATGAAGTATTGAACAGTTTGTCAGCATGAGGTCTAAAGAATTAATTCAACATTTAAGCTTCTACCTTCACATCGTCACAACGCTTCACTGTCATGTGACTACTTCCTGTCAGCCATGCGCAACAGGAAGTAGCTTACCGTTCCGTCCTCCATCATTCGCAGACACGAGCCGAAGTCGGCCAGCCGGATGTGACCGTTGACGTCCAGCAGGACGTTGTCCGGTTTGATGTCTCTGGAGAAGCAAGATTTAGACTGTTAGGACTGCAGGCTCCACCAGGGGGCAGCATTCCAATCATTCCTCCAATGAGCAGCAGCTACCTGTGGATGTACCGCTGCTGGTGGATGGAGTGGATGGCCAGAACCATCTCTGCCACGTAGAACTTGGCCATGTCTTCAGGCAGACGGTCCTCAAACTTACTGAGCAGCGTCAGCAGGTCTCCGCCCACGTAGTAGTCCATCACCAGGTACTGCAGCACGGCAACAAGTCCGGCAACAAGTCTCAGCAACAAGTCTCAGCAACATCAGGCTGTTCAGAATCCACCAGACCTACCAGGAAGTTGTCATCCTGGAAGGCGTAGTGCAGAGTGGTGATCCACTGACTGTCCCCCTTCACCAGGACGTCCCGCTCCTCCCGGAAAACGCCGTCTGCACAGCGAGACGCCGGCAACATGTTGGCAACATGTTGGCAACATGTGATGAAGAGGAGGAGGAGGAAGGCTGGACTCACCTCGGCTCTCTTCAGCATCTCCCACTTGTTCAGGATCTTCATGGCGTAAACGCGCTCCGTGTTCTTCATCTTCACCACAGCAACCTGCAGCAACACGGCCAACCAGGTTCCAGATTGAAGCTTCAGTAAAACAAGCTGATCACTTTAGTAATCAATGATCAGGATTAAATCAAACTGACGTATTCGTCTTCAGTTGACCTGATGAATGAACTCTCTCTTTTCACCATTTATAGATTTTGTGTCGGATCTTTGATGAAAACATTTCCGGGGAAAAGAGGCTGTTTGCTCTCTCTGTGTTATGCTAATAGCAGTTAGCTTTCGTCAACATCTCTTCGGCGGACATGAGAACGTTGCACAATGTAATAATCATCCAGCCTAAAAACATGGAGTAAATAGTAAACATAATTTAATAAAGCTTTGAGGCTGATAATTTGCCTCGAGGAATTTTAATAATGGAGTTACGGAGCAGACGAAGGAGAAAAGCTAACAGCTAACAGCAATTATGATGTAAAATTACATAAACACTGGAACAAATCGGATTTTTGGTAGAAAATATTTGTTAGCTCCTTAGATTAATCTAATAGATTATCTGTCAGAAATGTAGCTGAACATTTTTAGCATGCGAAAGCATCTGGAGTTTCTAACTTCTCCAGAAGATTTGATTGTTGATTTTCTGAATCTTCTTTCAACATGAAACCTGAAAACCAGGCAGGATTTTCTTCAAGAAAGAAATAAAATGTAGGATTCTTCTGTATTTATCAACACAACAGTTTTCCCCCACAGCATCATCCTGCCACCGCCATACCCGACACAAAGTGTTCAGTTTCCAGCATCACCTGAGCTGATGCTGGAAACTGAAACTGTATTTTGTTTTCTGGTCTTTGGCAGCTTCAGCTTTTATTTCTCCATTCAGGAGTTTTGATGGAGTTTGTTTAGGGATTAAACTGAACTTCCAGAGCAGGTTCAGAGCAGAGCTGCACCTTTAAGAGCTTTGGGTGAACAAAAGCAGCCACACCTGGAATACCTGCCCGGCCACGCCCGCTCCCAAGCTGTCGGGACGGGACGTTCCCCACAAGCACAGCAACACGCCGCTGCGAGTGTTTGAGTCCCGAGGCGGCGGGCAGGCGTGGCTGCGGCACACCTTTCCTCTGGTATGTGGGCGACGCGCACACACACACACACACACACACACACCCCCCCACACACACACACACACACACCCACACACACCCACACACACACACACACACACACACACACACACACACACACGCACACACAGACACACACACACACACACACACACAGACACACACACACACACACACACACACACACACAGACACACACACACACACACACGCACACACACACAGACACACACACACACAGACACACACAGACACACACACACAGACACACACACACGCACACACACAGACACACACACACACAGACACACACACACACACACAGACACACACACACACACACACACACAGACACACACGCACACACACAGACACACACACACACACACACCAGCAGCGTGCATCAGCTGCTTTCTTACGCGAGCGTTCAGCAACGCGTTCCTGAGGGCCCGGTGAGCGAAGGAGGAACGCTGCAGCCTGAACAGGAAGTGCAGGAAACTCTGACTTCCTGCTGGATCTCAGCCCGTCCACATCCTTCCTATTCTCAGGAATTTGGAATAAAATTCAAACCCAAAGGAAATTCAGAGCTTCTCTAAAAACTCTGTGACTATTGGTTACAGATTTCAACCTCCGTCTGAGCTCGGTTCCCGGAAACGCACAGAAACACGAGTCCAGTCGGATCAGAACCGATCCCAGCCTGGAGTCATTCAGAGCTGGAAACAATAAGTCCCACAGCCAGCAGGAAGGCCTTCCTGTAGGAGGGAATCCAGACAACTTCCTGCTGATCTAGAGTGACGTTTCTACGCTCCAGGACTCAGCAGAACCAGGCAGTCAGGATGCTACTAGCATCTCAGCAAACCAACAGCATGTTAGCTGCCAAGCTAACATGCTAACAACCGAGCCAAACAGCACCTGTCCAGATATATGAGGGAAATAAAAGATCCTGATTCATCGTTACGCAGATGACATTCAGATTTGACTTCATTTGAAATCCAAACGGTTTTCAGCTAAATCAACTTTCTGATTTTATTCCAATCAGCAGACATGTTTTCATCCAATTCTCCTGCAAAGTTTGAGCAATTTGTTTTTAAATGTTGCAAAACAGAAAATGCTAATTTTGTGTTTCCATTTTCTGGGATGGAGTGAATAAATCCTGCCTGGTAATCACAGCTACACATGGCTGCGATCAACAGGAAGTCCAGGTTACTAAATCACTTTTCAGTGTGGTGCCTCTGGTAAGGCTCCAACGTTTGGAGATGTTTGCTACGTTTGAACTTATTTGGTAAATGTGTTTCCATTTCCTCCTGAGCACCGACTGTTTCTCAGAAAAGCCACAAAAAAATCATAAGGGGGCAGAAATGTTTTTACAGAATTGAGGATGTTACTTTGAATATTCCCATTTTCTTCTGTGATATTTCATGTGACCTCTGTGTGGCCATGTGACCTCTGTGTGGCCATGTGACCTCTGTGTGGTCATGTGACCTCTGTGTGGTCATGTGACCTCTGTGTGGTCATGTGATGGGGCGTTTAGCTGCAGCAGAGGTCAGAGGTCGGTCAGAATATATTTACTGTCAGCCTGACTTCATATTGAAGCCCAGATGTTTAGAGTTGTAACTCGTAGCAACAGCAGCTGCACATGATGATCAACATTAATACTCGGCGATTCTGGACGGGTTGTTCAGCTGCAGCAGAACCATCTGGGGTGTTTACACTCCGAGGCCCGGCTTCCTGCTGGACCTGGACTTTGACTGGACCCCTTATCACAGCGCTACGACCGACAGCAGCTCCACCGCAGCCAGAGCAAACATCATGCTGGGGTCAAAGTTCACCAGCCAGCCTGACCAGCAGCACAGGGACTCGGGTTCTGACCAGCACTTCTAAACCGGGTTCTTCTGACCCAGCTGCTTCAGCTTTGAAACCGTTTCCACTCAGGAAGTGGAAAGAGATTATTTATTTATTATTCCTCTGCTTTTTAAAAACATTTATTTATATTTATTAACAATTATATTTTCAGTTTGAAGTTTGCAAAATGAAAAAAGTTAAAAGGCCACAAGGAAGAGAGAAAGGAGATGAGGAAGGAAAGGAAACAAAGACAGAAGAGAGGGATGCTTACAAAACACAGGAAAGAAAGAAAAAGACAAAAATAGCAAGACTGAAAGAAAGACCAAGGAAAGGAAAGGAAGGAGACAAGGAGGAATGTAAGGAAGGATGAAGAGAAGGACAGAGACGACCTTCAGAGCCAGAACATAAACCGGACCGCTGCAGAACCGGACCAGGAGTCCTACCTCCCCAAAGGCTCCTCTTCCGATCACCTTCAGCATCTCGAAGTCGTCTCTCTTCAGCCGCATGTCCTTCACTCGGCTGGTGAACGGCTTCACTGCAGAAACACAAACACACGTCGGACCTCAGAGGTTCTGGAGAACACTGGACCAACAGAGCCGACCCGATCTGGAGGCGCCGGGGCCCCGCAGACCGCCGGCCCCGCAGACCGCCGGCCCCGCAGACCGCCGGCCCCGCAGCATCTTCAATTCATCTGATCTGGAATCAGAATTATCTGGGTCACTCTGAAGCACAGCCCAGAATAGAAACCACAGAACTGGAACCAGAACCGGAACCGGACCCGAGCGCAGGCAGGACCTCAGGCCGGTTCTGGAGAACTTCCCAGACGGATCTGATCCAGAGTCTTTAACCCCTTCACAGCAGGGTTTCTGCTGCGTCACCATGGCAACGCGTGATGGAGCCTCAGGTAGTCTTCAGAAATGTCTGCGTTTCCCCGGCAACCGGCAGCTCGTCTCTACTCGCCATCGGCAGGAAGGTCGGGTTGATCCGGACCTTTAACTGGATCTACTGGAGGGAAACATCCAGTTCTGACCCACTTTATAAGAAAAGTCCAACAAGTTTGATGTTGGAGCCAGTTTGACCCAAAATGACCGGATAACCAGAACCAGAAGGCCTGGAGCTTCTGGACCTTCTGGACAAAGGTCCGGTGTTCAGGTGAGACGGTGAAATCAGTCAAGCACGTTGGAGGAGGCATCATGCTGTGGGAACGTTTTTCTCAATCTCAGCCCAACAGGTTCCGGCCGGACAGTGATCCAAACACAGAACCACCAGAACCTCTACGATGATGCGAGTCAACATCTGAAGTGCGACGAGAATTCATCACACTCCGAACCGTTCGGTACCACGGAGCGGGACCATTCAGAACCCAACCAGAAACTGCCATCAAAGCCGCGAGGAGCAGATAAATATGAGACGTTGATGTTTTAACCTGCATGAAGTTCTGATCCTGCATGTGTGGAGAAAATGGGACATATAAATATTAACCTGATCTTCATTTTCCAAAAAAAGTCTCTAATGTGTGATTAAAAGGTTTGGACTCTCATAACGGCCGGCTCTGAACAGATCCATTACAGATAATAACGGTTCTGAAAAGTTCTGATTGTGCTGATGTCTTCGTTCAGCCGAGCAGAACCCGATCGGAGCATCTGAGCCTTAAGCAGCTCCTGGATCCAGGTCATTTAAATCAGGACAGGCTCTGAAACCGGGACAGACTGAACCAGGACAAACTGGGCCAGCAGCAGCTGCAGCCTCCACGCTCAGCCGGGCCCGGTTCTGGCTGTGAGCAGAACCGGGCCCACACCGGGTCAGTCTGCTTCCCCTTCGACTCCTCTCAACTTAAACCTACATGTTTAAGTTGTTGAATCACCAAACCTGCAGATTGTTTGATATTTAGGTTCTACGGTCTTTAAAGGGGCAGTAACGTGTTTTTCAGAAAAATGGTGTCATTTCATACCATAAACCAGAAACTGTTGTCTTCTGTTGTCAGAAAATGCTGCATATATGAAATATGAAACGATTTGGGCTTCTGTCTCTTTAAAATCTCCTGAAGCTCCGCCTCCAGGAAGTCATCCCAACATGGCTCCTCTATTAACTCTTTAAGGTTTTTACCAGCGTTGCTCTGAGCAGCAGCTGGTGGCTAATTGCTGCTGGCTAGTCTGAAGGAGCTGAGAGGGGGAGGAGCTTCATCTCGAAGGCGGGGCTAAGTCCCAGGTGTTTTGGGCAGCTGAATGGTTGCCATGGAGATTTAAGGATTTCTCAAACATGCATGTAAGAAAGCATCACTGCAGGTTTGGTCTTGACATTTTAACGTGAAACTGTCCCTTTAAATCGATTTGAGCGAACCAGAAATCGGCACTGGCTCAGTTAAAGCCCGATCTGTGGCCTCGGCTTGTTGGACCTTCTGGAATAATCCAGATGAAGAATGAGAGCTGGTCTTCATAAAACTCTGCATCCTCTCGGGTCGTGACAGGCTCAGTTGCGGTTCCTCTGCTCCTTCCTCCCAGGACCACACCCACAGGCTTCCCACGGATCCCAGAACAGATCCCTGATGGTTTCCAGAGCTCCATCAAAGCTCCTGTCACTTCCTAACCGGAAGAACGCCGCAGAACCCGTCCAGATCATCCAGAACCCCTCAGACGCCACCGGTCCGGACCTGTTCAGTGAGAAGAGCCGGTTCCGGTCTCGGTTCTTACCCCAGTTCAGGAACTCGGTGATGTGCTTCTCCCTCTTCAGCGGGGAGTTGGAGCACTCGGTGTAGAGGCAGAGCAGCAGGTCCAGCAGCGCCTCCACGCTCAGGCATCCCGCCTCCTTCTGCTCCAGCAGCAGCTCCTCCAGCCGCCGCAGCCGCTCCTGAGCCGACATCCTCCTCGGCTGGGACGCTCCGCTCCCCGGATCCGACTCCCGCCGCCGCCCGCCCCGCTCACCGAGTCTGCGCCGCCGCCGATGCTCCGCTTCCTGCCGAGGCTGCTAGCAGCTAGCCCGTTAGCTCCGGGAAAACATTCCCGACATTTTGAGCCGCCGGGATGTCGCAGAGTTCTGGCCGCCTTGCGCTCTGTTACAGCCGGTCCGTCGCGTCGTGAGCCGAACCGCCAGCAGGCCCGCGGCTGTCCGCCCTGAACATCGGCTTTAATCCGGTAAATCTGGACTTTCCGCTCAGAAATCGGGACGTCGGTAAGAGCGTCGACTCTCAGGCTGACCGCCGCAGCTCCATGTCCCCCGGTCGGTCTATAAGTCCGGGAACGCAGCCAGGGGTTCCGAACCTGAACCGACTGGACTCGGGGCGTCCGTCGGAATCGGGCCGCGGCGTACCGGGGGTCTCCAGGCGGTTTTTGGTCAGTTTGAGGCGCCTGCCGGTGTGGCTGATCAGTGGGAATATGGCTGAATCCAGGTCGGATCATCCAGAACAAGTTGAAAGTGATGAGTCTCATTTCCGGTCAAAGGAGCTTCAAAATAAAATAAGTTTATTCAGCAGCGTTGAATAAGTTGATATTTTGCAGTGCATTTTTTTTGTTTGTTTGAAATTTGTAATAATCTTCCGAGTTTGAAAAGTTAATTTTATTTTTATGAGTATAGGGAGCAGATATTATAAGTTAATACGTTTTTCTGCTTCATTATTTCTTTTAGGCGTTACATGAAATATTTACACTTGTCATAGAGTGAATGAAACAAAAAATATATTTCATTATAAATAAAATGAAAACAATAAAGCTTGGTAGTAACTTTCCATCCATCCATCCATTTTCTTACTCTTGTCCGCAGTGGGGTTGGGAGGAGCTGCTGCAAACGTTTCAGGCGAGTGGCGGGTCACCTGGACACGTAGCCAGTCTGTCACAACAGTGATGAGCAATTCAATTGTTTAAATAAGTTCCTTTATATAATGAATATTATTATTATCACCATTATAAAGTTGTTGTGTTTTAGAATATCTTTTATTTCCAGCCACTTGGGGGTTATTTCAGGTGTAGCAGCAACATTGAGGCATACAGGTTCATACAAAAATTAAAAAGTGTTTACATTTTTATATATCTTAAATATACAAAAGGTTTTTAATAATACTTGTTTTTATAAATACCAAAAAGTAAACACAAAAACATGTTAATCATAAAACTGGTCAAAACTCGTTTTTTTTTGTTTTTTTTTTTTACAAATGTTTACGCTGGCATCGTGCTCTTATTTTGAAGGCTCATATCCAGTGTGCGGAAGTTGGTTTTTGCTATTGAACGAAGACGTTACAGATCTGTGCGTCTCTCCCAAAAGAACACGCATGCCCCGCCCTCCTGCACCGGAAACGCTCCAGATACATGACGTCATGTGGTGATTGACAAGAGCTGAGAGAGACTGGTACACACACACACACACACACACACACACACACACACACACACACACACACTGACATCATCATGTGACATCATCTGAACAATTAAGTAAACAAGGAGTTTCACTTGTTTTCGTTTCAGTGGATGAAACAATTAGGACACAAATAATCACATCGAATTAAATTTTGTTTTTATTTAATTAAGCATTATTGATTTTTAAAATTTTATTGAAATTTTTGCAGCAATTTTATTGCAAATTAATTATTTAATAAACATTTCTGGTGTTAATTTCATATTAAGACAGTTTCTTCATTTTAAGAAAATATTTATGCAGTAAATAACTTTATTCCAGTTATTTACTTTTTAATGGGTTTTTTAAGATTTGGAAAGTAAAAATGAGATTTACTGCGACCCGTCCGGGCGACCCGTCCTGGCGACCCGTCCGGGCGACCCGTCCGGGCGACCCGTCCGGGCGACCCGTCCGGGTGACCCCGCCTCTCGCCCGGAACGCAGCTGGAGAGGAACCAGAACCTCCCGACCCAGTTAGGGAGAAGGTGACCAGACAATGGATGGATTTATGAAATGTAAACATAAGATAAGAAAAAAATCTAGAAATATAAAATCTATTTTTAAATAAATAAAAATTATATAAACATAACTGAAAGGGAAAAAAACTCACGTTTTCTGAGTTACAAAACATAAAAATTAGACAAATATGTAAAAGTGACTAATATAAATTAATAAATCATAAATGAATTTGTAACATATTGTAAACGTTACTGCAGTTATGTTGTGGGTCTCAGTTTTCTGACTTTGCATCTTTTATTTGACTCATAATTCTAACAATATGGACAAAACACATTTATTTAATGGAAGAAAAACAAAATTGCTCAATTTGTGACAAAATAAGACATTCTGATTAAATTTGATCATGTTAGTCACTCATATTTATGTATTTAATTTGACGGATTCAGCATATTCTACAATATGAAAGATTTATTAGAAATATAATGTCATGACGTTTCATTGTTTTCCTGTCGTGTTGTTTTACCGCCAGTGGCCACTAGAGGGAGCTGGGAGCTCGGTGTGGAGGAGCTGCAGGTTCTGACTGTGATCCTGGCCGGTTCTGGTCCGGATCAGGAAGCAGCTCTGTTATCCGTCACACCCCGAGGCTCTGCTGAGTTTCCCTTCTTAAAGCTGGTGATTCCGGATCAGCGGGAAACGGTTCCCGACTTCATTCCTGAGGAGCCGGAACCGGTCCGACCGTCGCGCTGGTCTCATTTCTGCAGAATTTCACATGTCTGACAAACACGCAGAGAGGCTGCGTGTCTTCAGTTACAAAATGTTTGTTTCCGTTTGATGTTGTCTTATTTAAATCTACAAAAGTTCTTCAGAAATTTTTCACAGTGCAGAACCTCAAGCCAACCAACAAAATAAAGATCTGAGAAGTGCGGAGTGCATTTGTATTTAGGCCCTGCTTCAGATCTCTGCAGAACCACGGCTTTCCTCCATCTCCAGTTCAGCCAGTCTGCATGGAGAACATCAAGTCTTCCCACAGAATCTCAGTTGGCTTATGTCTAGACTTGGACTAGGCCATCCCATAATACAACTGGCTGTACTCTCTGGGTGTTTTTTCTGCTGGAAGCTGAACTTCCAGCCCAGACTCTGGTCTTCTAACAGGTTTCCTTCCAGGATCATCCTGGAGTAGATCCATTGCCTGTCCCACAGCATGATGCTGCCACCACCAGCTTCAGTGAGAGTGTTCTGTATCAGTCACAGAAAGCAATAAAAATGTCAGCAGGTGACTCCAATTTTTACCTGACAGAAAAGTGCTGCAAGAAGAAAATTCATAAGACATAAAAGATTAAATAGCTGAAAATAGAAAAAGTCAAATTAACTTAAGATTCAAAGTAACTCAAGACGGTTGAGGCTAACTGTAGCTAGCTGTCTGTCTATCAGCTGTTTGCCTTTTAAAATCTGTTTCATGGTATTTTCAGAGCAAGCCTTCATTGTTTACCACCATTAAATGAAACGAAACAGAACAGCGACGCTATCTCTGCTGAAGTCCAGCAGATTTTTCCTGGGAACAAATAAAATCAGTAAATGTTCATCAGAACTGTCTGAAAATAAACAAACGTTTGACCAGATTGGCTGAAGTCCAACAGATGATCAGAATCAGTCGGACTGATTTCAGGCAGCGCGGCGCGTCGGTCAGCATTAAACCACCACTAAAATAATTACTGCTTGTGTCTCTGTGTTTTCCTTTCCATGGAAATGTACTTTTATTCCTGAAATATAAATATACTGCTGTTATACAACAAGCTTTTCAAATCTGAGTATTTATTCGCTCTTCATTTACCTGGGAAGGTTCTGGAAAGTCGATTAAAGTCGAAAAACTAACAGCAAAAATTTGAGATATTTAGTCCAAAAGAAAAAAACAGGCGCTTTTATTTTTCACCAAGTTATTAATTAATTTGTAAATGTCACAGTTTCAATCTAAATATTTAATCAGAAAGCTAAATTAGCCTCAAACCAAATATTCAGCTTGCTAATATTTAGTGTGAAGCTAAATGTTTCGCTTTCTAATTAAATATTAAACTAAATATTTGGTCATTTGCCCCAAACTAAATTATTACTAACTCATACATCCTCAGCATGGCGACGGGAGGAGCGGCGCTTCAGGAAGCCTCATAAAATGTTTCTACAGCGTTTGATCAAATAAGTCACGTCATAAACAGGATTCTGCAGGTTTTATTTTGTTTTTCCAGTGAAGTTATTTCGTTGAGTTTGTGTTGAACATGGAGAAGGAAACTTCAGTCCCTTCTTTCTGCAGAGACTGGAACCAGAGCCAGATTTCTGTGGAACTTCACTCATCCATTTACGGATCATTTACCATCTGTTGGCAGGAAAAACTTAATGACAGATTTTCATTTTCACTCTTGTTCTCATTCTAACACCACATTCCACCACAACGAGAAACATTTCAACCGCAAACTATTAATCCTTCGTTGGCTCCCGGTAAACTTTGTGCTTCACTGATTCAGTTCAAACTGTGGCGAACGCGACGCAAACCGACATTCTCACCCCCAAAAATCTGATCTGTGCCACTTCCAGATGGGGAACTAACTAACTAACTAACTAACTAACTAACTAACTAACTAACTAACTAACTAACTAACTAACTAACTAACTAACTAACTAACTGATCCATCCATCCGGTTTTCCGGGTCGGGTCGTGGGGGTAGCAGCTCCAGAAGGGAGGCCCAGTCTTCCCTCTCCCAGCCGCTTCCTCCAGCTCCTCCGGGGAATCGTTCCCAGGCCAGCCGGGAGACGTAGTCCCTCCAGCGTGTCCTGGGTCTCCCCTCCTCCCGGTGGTACCTGAACACCTCACCAGGGAGGCGTCCAGGAGGCATCCTGACCAGATGCCCGAGCCTCAACTGGCTCCTCTCGATGTGGAGGAGCAGCGGCTCTGAATGACTGAGCTTCTCACCCTATCGCTAAGGGAGAGTCCAGCCACCCTGCGGAGAAAACCCATTTTGACCAGGCTCT